CAACTTGATCAACTGGAAGAAAGAGTATCAGCGATTGAAGATCAAATGAATGAAACAAAGTGAGAAGGGAAGCATGGAGAAAAAAGAGTTAAAAGAAATGAACAAAACGTCCAAGAAGTATGGGATTATGTGAAAAGACCAAATCTACATCTGATTGTTGTGCCTGAAAGTGATGGGGAAAATGGAACCAAGTTGGAAAACACTCTGCAAGATATTATCCAGGAGAACTTACCCAACCTAGTAAGGCAGGCCAATATTCAAATTCAGGAAATACAGAGAACGCCACAAAGATACTCCTCAAGAAGAGCAATTCCAAGACACATAATTGTCAGATTCACCAAAGTTGAAATGAAGGAAAAACTGTTAAGGGCAGCCAGAGAGAAAGGTCGGGTTACACACAACGGGAAGACCACCAGACTAACAGCAGATCTCTCAGCAGAAACTCTACAAGCCAGAAGAGAGTGGGAGCCAATATTCAACATTCTTAAAGAAAAGAATTTTCAACCCAGAATTTCATATCCAGCCAAACTAAGTTTCATAAGTGAAGGAGAAATGAAATCCTTCACAGACAAGCAAATGCTTAGATATTTTGTCACCACCAGGCCTGCCCTACGAGAGATCCTGAAGGAAGCACTAAACATGGAAAGGAACAACCAGTACCAGCCATTGCAAAAACATGCCAAAATGTAAAGACCATCGATGCTAGGAAGAAACTGCATCAACTAGCGAGCAAAATAACCAGCTAATATCATAATGACAGGATGAAGTTCACACACAACAATATTAACCTTAAATGTAAATAGACTAAATGGTCCAATTAAAAGACACAGACTGGCAAATTCAATAAAGAGTCAAGACCCATCAGTTTGCTGTATTCGGGAGACCCATCTCATATGCAGAGACACACAAAGGCTCAAAATAAAGGGATGGAGGAAGATCTATCAAGCAAATGGAGAACAAAAAAAAGCAGAGGTTGCAATCCTAGTCTCTGATAAAACAGACTTTAAACCATCAAAGATCAAAAGAGACAAAGAAGGTCATTACATAATGGTAAAGGGATCAATTCATCAGGAAGAGCTAACTACCCTAAATATATATGCACCCAATATAGGAGCACCCAGATTCATAAAGCAAGTCCTTAGAGACTTACAAAGAGACTTGGACTCCCACACAATAATAATGGGAGACTTTAACACCCCACTGTCAACATTAGACAGATCAATGAGACAGAAAGTTAACAAGGATATCTAGGAATTGAACTCAACTCTGCACCAAGTGGACCTAATAGACATCTACAGAACTCTCCACCACAAATCAACAGAATATACATTCTTCTCAGCACCACATTGCACTTATTCCAAAATTGACCACATCGTTGGAAGTAAAACTGTCCTCAGCAAATGTAAAAGAACAGAAATTGTAACAAACTGTCTCTCAGACCACAGTGCAATTAAACTAGAACTCAGGACTAAGAAACTCAATCAAAACCACTCAACTACATGGAAACTGAACAACCTGCACCTGAATGACTACTAGGTACATAACGAAATGAAGGCAGAAATAAAGATGTTCTTTGAAACCAATGAGAACAAAGATACAACATACCAGAATCTCTGGGACACATTTAAAGCAGTATATAGAGGGAAATTTATAGCACTAAATGCCTACAATAGGAAGCAGGAAAGATCTAAAATTGACACCCTAACATCACAATTAAAAGAATTAGAGAAGCAAGAGAAAACACATTCAAAAGCTAGCAGAAGGCAAGAAATAACTAAGATCAGAGCAGAACTGAAGGAGATAGAGACACAAAAATCCCTCCAAAAAATAAGTGAATCCAGGAGTTGGTTTTTTGAAAAGATCAAAAAAATTGATAGACCACCAGCAAGACTAATAAAGAAGAAAAGAGAGAAGAATCAAAGAGATGCAATAAAAAATGATAAAGGGGATATCACCACCAACCCCACAGAAATACAAACTACCATCAGAGAATACTATAAACACCTCTATGCAAATAAACTAGAAAACCTAGAAGAAATGGATAATTTCCTGGACATTTACACTCTTCCAAGACTAAACCAGGAAGAAGTTGAATCCCTGAATATACCAATAGCAGGCTCTGAAATTGAGGCAATAATTAATAGCCCACTAACCAAAAAAAGTCCAGGACCAGACGGATTCACAGGCGAATTCTACCAGAGGTACAAGGAGGAGTTGATACCATTCCTTTTGAAATTATTCCAATCAATAGAAAAAGAGGGAATCCTCCCTAACTCATTTTATGAGGCCAACATCATCCTGATACCAAAGCCTGGCAGAGATACAACAAAAAAAAGAAAATTTTAGACCAATATCCCTGATGAACATGGATGCAAAAATCCTCAATAAAATACTGGCAAACTGAATCCAGCAGCTCATCAAAAAGCTTATCCACCATGATCAAGTGGACTTCATCCCTGGGATGCAAGGTTGGTTCAACATACGCAAATCAGTAAACGTAATCCAGCATATAAACAGAACCAAAGACAAAAGCCACATGATTATCTCAATAGATGCAGAAAAAGCCTTTGACAAAATTCAACAGCCCTTCATGCTAAAAACTCTCAATAAATTCGGTATTGATGGAATGTATCTCAAAATAATAAGAGCTATTTATGACAAACCCACAGCCAATATCATACTGAATGGTTAAAAACTAGAAGCATTCTCCTTGAAAACTGCCACAAGACAGGGATGCCCTCTCTCACCACTCCCATTAAACATAGTGTTGGAAGTTCTGGCTAGGGCAATCAGACAAGAGAAAGAAATCAAGGGTATTCAGTTAGAAAAAGAAGAAGTCAAATTGTCCCTGTTTGCAGATGACATGATTGTATATTTAGAAAACCCTGTTTTCTCAGCCCAAAATCTCCTGAAGGTGATAAGCAAATTCATAAAAGTCTCAGGATACAAAATCAATGTGCAAAAATCACAAGCATTCTTATACACCAGTAACAGACAAACAGAGCCAAATCATGAATGAAGTCCCATTCAGAATAGCTTCAAAGAGAATAAAATATATAGGAATCCAACTTACAAGGGATGTAAAGGACCTCTTCAAGGAGAACTACAAACCAGTGCTCAGTGAAATAAAAGAGGACACAAACAAATGGAAGAACACACCATGCTCATGGATAGGAAGAATCAATATTGTGAAAACGGCCATACTGCCCAAGGTAATTTATAGATTCAATGCCATCCCCATTAAGCTACCAATGACTTTCTTCTCAGAATTGGAAAAAACTGCTTTAAAGTTCATATGGAACCAAAAAAGACCCCACATTTCCAAGACAATCCTAAGCCAAAAGAACAAAGCTGTAGGCATCACGCTACCTGACTTCAAACTGTACTACAAGGCTACAGTAACCAAAACAGCATGGTACATGTACCAAAACAGAGATACAGACCAATGGAACAGAACAGAGACCTCAGAAATAATACCAAACATCTACAGCCATCTGATCTTTGGCAAACCTGAGAAAAAGAAGAAATGTGGCAAGGATTCCCTATTTAATAAATAGTGATGGGAAAATTGGCTAGCCATAAGTAGAAAGCTGAAACTGGATCCTTTCCTTACTCCTTATACGAAAATTAATTCAAGATGGATTATAGACTTAAATGTCAGACCTAAAACCATAAAAACCCTAGAAGAAAACCTAGGTAATACTATTCAGGACATATGCTTGGGCAAGGACTTCATGTCTAAAACACCAAAAGCAACGGCAATGAAAGCCAAAATTGACAAATGGGATCTAATTAAACTAAAGAGCTTCTGCACAACAAAAGAAACTACCATCAGGTGAACAGGCAACCTACAGAATGGGAGAAACTTTTTGCAATCCACTCATCTGACAAAGGGCTAATATCCAGATCCTATAAAGAACTCAATCAAATTTACAAGAAAAAAAACAAACAACCCCATCAAAAAGTGGGCAAAGGATATGAACAGACACTTCTCAAAAGAAGACATTCATACAACCAACAGACTCATGAAAAAAATGCTCATCATCACTGGCCATCAGAGAAATGCAAATCAAAACCACAATGAGATACCATCTCACATCAGTTAGAATGACAATCATTAAAAAGTCAGGAAACAACAGGTGCTGGAAAGGATATGGAGAAATAGGATCACTTTTACACTGTTGGTGGGACTGTAAACTAGTTCAACCATTGTGGGAAACAGTGTGGCAATTCCTCAAGGATCTAGAACTAGAAATACCATTCGACCCAGTCATCCCATTACTGGGGATATACCCGAAGGATTATAAGTCATGCTGCTATAAAGACACATGCACACGTATGTTTATTGCGGCACTGTTCACAATAGCAAAGACTTGGAATCAACCCAAATGTCCATCAGTGACAGACTGGATTAAGAAAATGTGGCACATACATACTATGGAATACTATGCAACCATAAAAAAGGATGAGTTTCGTGTCCTTTGTAGGGACATGGATGCAGCTGGAAATCATCATTCTCAGCAAACTATTGCAAGAACGGAAAACCAAATACCGCATGTTCTCACTCATAAGTGGGAATTGAGCAATGAGATCACTTGGACACAGGAAGGGGACCATCACACACCGGGTCCTATTGTGGGGAGGGGGGAGGGGGGAGGGATAGCATTGGGAGATATACCTAATGTAAATGACGACTTAATGGGTGCAGCACACCAACGTGGCACATGTATGCATATGTAACAAACCTGCACGTTGTGCCCATGTGCCCTAGAACTTAAAGTATAATAAATAAATATATATATATAATTATTGTTGTCACAAGTCACTTAGTTTTGGAGTAGTTTTAGCAGCAATAGAAAACTAATATAGGTCAATATAAAAATCAATGCATTTTATAAAACGTTGAGAAACAAAAAATAAAAGGATTTTAAAAATAATAATAATAATTTTACTTCACTCTCTTACATGGATTTGGATGAGAAGTCAGATATAATTCTTACCTCTGTTCCTCTATAATAAGATGTGATTTCCTTCTAGATTTTTTTAAAAGTCTTTGATTATAGTTTGAATTTAATATATCCGGATGTAGTTTATTTATTTTTATTTTATTTTACTTTTCATTTATCATACTTGGTGTTCTCTGATTTTCCTGGATTTGTGGTTTGTTGTCTGACATTAACTTGGTAAATTGTCCACCATCATTGTTTCAAATGTTTCTTCTGTTTCTTTTATTTTTTCCCTCTTTCTCATATTCCCATTACGTATATGCTGCACTTTTTGCAGGTGCCCACAGTTCTTGGATATTGAAGTTTTGGGTAATCTTTTTTCCCTTTACTTTTCAGCTTTGGAAGTTCATATTAAGATATCCATAAAGTCAGTAATTCTTTGTTCAGTCATGTCCAGTATACTAATTTTTTATTAAGAAAAAAGAAACTAAGCAATTGTGATAAGCAAAAGGAACTTCACAGATGTGATTAAATCAGAATCATGAGACGGAAGATTATTCTTGATTGTCTTGGTGAGTCCAAATGTGAAAGGAGAAGCAGAGAGAGATTTTTGAAGAGGCTATTCTCTGGCTTTGAAGATAGTGGAAGGGGCTATGAGCCAAGAAATACAAGGAATGCAGCTCTCTTGTTGACCATATGAGTTCTTCTTGCCTGCTGACCAGAAAAATCCAGTAGTCTGAGATAGAAGTTGCAGCAGAGAAAGAGTTTAATAATTGCAGGGTGACAAAGAAAGGAGGAGGGGAAATATTTCTCAAATCCACCTTCTCTAGAATTCAAAGGCTAGGATTTTTCCAGAATGGTTTGACAGGCAAGGAGCTAGAGAATGGGGAATGCTGATTGGTTGGATTGGGGATGAAATCATAAAGGCATTGAAACTTTCTGATGTGCTGAGTCAGTTCCTGGATGGAAGTCACGGAACCTGTTGAGTCAATTTCTTGGGATGGGTTCCTGGTTCAGATGGTACCAGTTGGTCCACCAGAATGCAAGGTCTGAAAAATTCTCAAACACCAGTCTTAGGTTTTTACAATAGTGATGTTATCTATAGGGGCAACTGAGGAAACTATAAATCTTGTGACCACTGGCTACATGACTCCTGAACAGCAGGCACTTACAAATAGGCAAGTTATACAACAGTGATTTGTTAGAGTTAACTGTACCTATATCTTAGTAGAAGAAACAATGTCTTGTAAGAATTAAACTATGCCTACATCTTAGCAGAATTTAGGCCTCTACCATAATTTTAACCTGGTGGCCTTTCATTACTTTTACAAAGGCAGTTTTAGTTCCTGAACAAGAAGATTAGTTTTGGGAAGGAGCTATTATCATTCTTGCTTTAAAGTTAAACTAGAAAACAAATTCCTCCCATAGTTAGCTTGACCTACATGTAGGAATGAGCAAAAACAGCTTAGCAGGTTTGAAGAAAATGGCTAGCCATGTGAGATTTTTTTTCACTGTTATAATTTTGTAAAGGTGGTTTCAGCTTTAGAAGCTGAAACAGGACGGAAAACAGATTCAGCCCTCAGAGTGAGTAAGGCCCTATGCATTTTGGTTTTGGCCAAGTGAAACACATTTCAGACTTCTGATCTTCAGAACTTTAAAATAATTAATTTGTGTTTTAAGTCACTGAGTTTGCAGTAATTTCTCATAGGAGCCATAGGAAACTAACACACATTTATAGAGGATCAAGGACATTAACATCTTGAAATTATAAATCCCAGAGGGAAGTAAGGAGAAAGGATGGAGAATATTTGTAAAAATAAGAAGTATTTCTAAAACTAATGGAGAAACATTTGTCATGTATATACATATGAAAAAATTCATAAAATGAACATATAGGGCAGAGTAATACCCATACTGAAATGGTAAAAAATAGAGCATATATATAGTCATTTAAATTTTTTTTTAATTCCTAAAAAATCATTATTCTACAGATTTCCCTCTCTATCTGAAGTACAGTAAAATTATAAATTAACATTTAAATGGTAGCTTTAAAATGTTTCATATTTGAAGACAATTTAGTATATTACTAAATAATCTTTAGGTTAGAAAAAAACTCATAAAAAACTTTTAAAAATTAGAAATACTCATAATTATTTGACATTTTAAAAAGTGTATGTCACATTCTATGTGACACAACTAAAATAATCCTTACATGGACATAATGACCCTAAATATATTTAAAATGTATATTTAAGCTATATAAATAGATGACTTAAACAAATGAGTTAAGCATTAAACAAAATTAATTAGAGAAAGAAAAAGAACAACAGAGGAAAGAACAACAGAGGAAACCCAAAGTAATATGATGGAAAGAAAGAATAAAGATAAAATCTGAAATCAATGAAATAACCAGGAGAAAAAAATTAAACAAACCCAAAACAGGTTCCACATAAAGATAAGTATATCTCTGACAAGACTGAATTAGAAAAAAAATAGAAGAGTTGCAAATAAACAAAATACATACAAAACGAAGTCTATCTTAAAACAAAATATTTAAAAGCAAAATTATTAACTATGCAATAATAATTTTAAATGTCATGAGACTAATATAATTTGATTCCAAGAACCAGATAGCAGTAATACAAAAAATGAATATATAGCTTCATGTTTTAAGAAAACAACAAAAATTCTAGATAACATATAAGCTAAGAGAATCTAGCTATGCATTAAAAATTAAAATATGGTTATTTTCCTTGGTTTCTCCAAGAAGCAGACACTGAGACATATTTGTCAGAGGCATTTGAACCAGACAGCTCCATCTTGAATAGGGGCTTGGTAGAATAAGGCAGCGACATACTGTGCTGCATTCCCAGACAGTTAGGCATTCTAAATCACAGGATGAGATAGGAGGTCGGCACAAGATACAGGTCTTAAAAACCTTGCTGACAAAACAGCTTGCAGTAAAGAAGCCAACCAAAACCAAGATGGCCACAAGAGTGACTTCTGGTCATCCTCACTGTTCCATTCCCACCAAAGCCATGACAGTTTACAAATGCCACGGCAATCTCAGGAAGTTATCGAATACGATCTCAAAAGGGGAGGCATGAATAATCCACCCCTTGTTTAGCATATAAGCAATACATAACCATAAAAACGAGCAACCGGCAGCCCTCAGGGCTGCTCTGCCTATGGAATAGCCATTCTTTTATTCCTTTGCTTTCTTAATAAACTTGCTTTCAGTTTACTCTATGGACTCATCTTGAACTCTTTCTTGTGCGAGATCCAAGAACCCTTCTTTGGGTTCTGGATCAGCATCCATTTCCAGTAACAAATTTACGAGCAAGCAGGATATTTAAAAGGTGATTCCAGAAAGCATTGGTAGAGAAGTGAGAAAGAGATTAAGAGAAGGCTGTTAAAGAGTTCGTTAGCCAGGAAGTCACCAGTGTGGGCAAGTGAAGTTATTTCATGGGGAAGTTCTAGGACCTCAAGTAGTACATGAGTGTAGTCACCTAAGTAGCATGGCAGTTTTGTTTATAAATGAATCTGCATCATTTTTTGATTGAGGGTTGCTCTTTATAATTATGATGCTACCAAATAAATCAGTATTTCATAGTACTAAATGTTCCCTGAAGTAGTCTCAATCAGTTAATACAATTTAAACTATAGTATTCTTTGAGATATATTATTTAAAGCAAAACCTTCCTTTTCCTCTACACAAAAAGGTATGCAAAATATGTGAACTAAGAATGTTTTCTTCTGTTTCCAACAGGATTTTCCTGTGTCATGTAATTAAATCTTTGAATTTTCTGAGGAATTTTATTTCTGAAGAAAAATGGCTATTGACTTTTCACAGAAGAATATTGTCTGTTCATTTCTTAAAATAAAAAGTTAAAGTGTCTTCTTAACATTTTTACTCCTTCTTTCAAGTGAAATTTGGATTGAGGGTGAGAAGTTGAAGAGAACAAGTCTTTCTTGAACACACAAGCACACACAATGCAGTCTTTGAATTAGGCTGCTGAAATGTTCTCTTCTTAGGGAGATTGCTTACGGCTAGGTCTATTTTCCCTGCAATGCCTCATTAGCTCTGAACACATTTTTCCCAAGATAAATTTAAAAGCTCATCCTAATTAGACTTCACTGGGGTGGTCTGAATTATTTGATCCATTCAGAAAAAAGATAGAAAAAAGACCACCCTGCAGGGGGCGGGTGGGGGGTGCCTAGCATGAATGATAGTGAGCGTTACCATTGTGATTTTAAGCTTTGGGTAAAGTTACATGAAATTTTCAAAAATCTGACCTCAACACCAGACAATAAATAGCGTTCTCAAGCAGAGAAAGCATTCTTTTTCTTTCATTTTATTAAGTACTTTTGTAACTGTAATACTGTTTTCATCTTCCCTGGAATCATTTTGCTCCTGACATCATTTTATCTCACCAAATCACGTAAAACAAAGCTGAGTTATTTCATGGTGAAGGGACTTGGATGTGCATTGTTGCATTTTAGGATGTACCTTTCTCCAACTGTATTACCAATATCCTTCATGAACTTTTCTTCTTACCTGTACTATTGCAAAAACTTCAGTCTATCCTTTATGCTGTGAAAGGAAAATTAACCTTGGGACCCCAAAATAACTAAGCTGAAGGGAAAAGCCAACTATGGAACTGCTTAGAGCAAACCTGCTTCTCATTCTATTCAAAGTTTACTCCTCTGCTTACTGAGATAAATGCATATCTGATTGCTTCCTTTGGAAAGGCTAACCAAAAACTCAAAAGGATGCAAATATTTGTCTCTTATCTACCTATGACCTGGAAGCCCTGTCCCTACTTGGAGTTTTTCCTCCTTTGCTTTAAGTTGTCCTGCCTTTCCAGAGCAAACCAACGTTCTTTTTTTTTTGAAATGAAGTCTCACTGTGTTGCCCAGGTTGGAGTGCAGTGACGGCATCATGATCTCTACTCACTACAACTTCCACCTCCCGGGTTCAAGTGAGTTTTCAAGCCTCAGCCTTCCAAGTCACTGGGATTATAAGCTATCACACCCGGTTAAATTTTGTATTTTTAGTAAAGATGAGGTTTTGCCATATTGGCCAGGCTAGTCTGAAACTCCTGACCTCAAGTGATCCACTTGCCTTGGCCTCCCAAAGTGCTGGGATTACAGGTGTGAGCCACCACACCAGGCTCCAGTGTTTATTCATCTTACATATATTGATAGATGTCTCATGTCTCCCTAAAATGTACAAAAGCAAGCTGTGCTCAGATCCCCTTCGGCAGATGTCATCTGGACCTCCTGAGGCTGTGTCACGGACAGGCGTCCTTAACTTTGGCAAAATAAACTCCCTAAATAGATTAAGACCTGTCTCAAATATTCAGTATTCACAATACAACACCAATGGCAGAATTTTTCTTTAAAATTGCCCATGTCAGACATCTAATTTAGGTATTTACAAAGTTCTTTGTCTTTTCTTCAAAATAATACCTAAAACATTATCTTTTAGTTTTCTACTCATGAGACTGCATCCATTATATACATGATCTCTACTGGCCATGAAATTGTGTCTCTTTTCATTACAGCATTAAAATCTAGCATATGATCAGTATAGTGTATAGTAATTGAAAATTCTAGTATAAAATGATTAAACAAAGCAATCAGATCTGCACATCAAATGAACATTTTTCTATATATGGTGTGATATAATTTCAAGTTCAAAGTATGATGCACATTTTCTTTTACAAGTAAAATTTATTCTACTTCTCAGACATGTTTCCAGTTAGTCCTTTAACAAAGGTTATGCTCAAATGATACTCAGTTTTCCAGTAGTATATCATTGTTTCTCTTCTCCATGCCTTATCCTAATATTTTATTATGAACATTATCAAATACGTAAAAAATTGTTAGAAATGTCATTGAACACCTGTGTTACTCCCTACTTAGATTCTACAATCAACATTTTGTAATATGTCACATACTTATCTATCTATCTACCCATCCATCAATGCACCTTATTTTTATACATTTCAAAATGAATAGCAAATATCACTATATTTTATCCCTAAACTTCAGTATGCTTAAACTTGTAAGTTAAATGTCTGTTTTTGTTTTTTTTTTAGATGAAATTAACAGGGTGAAATGCAAAAATCTTAAGTATGCTAGTCAACAAATTTTTCATATATATATATATTTTGCAAAAAATAATATGCATATATGTGTATTCTTTAAAACTGTCCATGTAAGACATCTAATCCAGGTGTTTATATATATATATATATATATATACACACACACACACACACACACACACACACATATAATATATATAATATATTAAACAAACATTTAATATAATATATATATTACATGTATATATATTTGGCAAAATTAATTAAATAGCATACTTAAGATTTTATATATGATACATACTTTCATATATAAAATCTTAAGTATGCTATTCAAAAAATTTATGTCAAAAGATATAAGTCTATGCATCTACATACAGTTGTATATATAGATATACAGATAGACATATATATTTGTATCTATATCATATAGGATACACAAAATCATATATAATATACATACATATTTATATCTGTGTGTAATTGCATAACCCAAAGTTATTAATATATCAACCACAAAATTCCCTGATGTCCCTTCCCAGTCAATACTAGCTCCCTACCCTGTTAGTTTCAATTACTGTCCTGTTCTGCTTTTTAAAAGCATAAATTAATTTTGCTCCTTAGAATTTCATATAAATGAAATAACAAAGTATGTTTTCTTTTGTATGAGGCAACTTTCACTCAGAATAATGGCTTTGAGATTCACCCATGTTGCTGTGCATATTAGTAGTTGTTTTTATTGCCAGGTTGTATTTTATTGTATTAATATAACACAATGTTTTCTATTCTGTTGATAGAAAACAGGACTATTTCTATGATCTGAATATTATGAATAAAGCTTCTATAAGCATTCTTATAGAAGCATTTCTTTTCCCATTAGCTTTGATTCCTCTTGGGTAAATACCTAGTAATTGTTGGATTAAAAATTAGATGTATATTTAATTTTATAAGAAAGTGCTGAACTTTTCCCAAATAACTTGTATAACTATGTACATTCACGAACAATATATTAGAGTTTGAGTTGCTCCATAAGTTTGCCAATATTCAATGCTGTCTGTATTTTATTATTATTATTATTTTTATTTATTTATTTATTTTTTTTGAGGTAGAGTCTTGCTCAAGGCTGGAGTCACCCAGGCTGGGGTGCAGTGGCATGATCTCGATTCACTGCAACCTCTGCCTCCCCGGTTCAAGCAATTATCCTGCCTCAGCCTCCCAAGTAGCTGGCACTAAAGGCATGTGCAACCACGCCCAGCTAATTTTTGTATTTTCAGGAGAGACAGGGTTAGCCAGGATGGTCTCCATCTCCCGACCTCGTGATCCACATGCCTTGGCCTCCCAAACTGCTGGGATTACAGGCGTAAGTCACCTCTCCCGGCCCATCTTTTAAATTTTAGTAATTCTGGCTTGTGTGACATGATACCTCATTTTGGTTTTCATTTGC